TTCAGAGCATTTCACAAGAAAGTGGGACAAAATATCTCACCGAGCTCCAGTCCTTCTCATCAAGCTGCTTTGTAACAGGAAACCCAGGCAGGCAGGACCGATCAGTCTTTTATGGGGCTTTTACTTGCCAAACTCAACTCATTTGTTTCTTGTTAAACAGCAGAGGAGACTGGTGACACTCATCGTCCCAGCACAGTTTCCTGCTTCATGTTATTTCTGTTTGTTGTTGTTGTTGTTTTTTTTTTTTACAAACAAGCCATGTGGGGTGGGGAGGAGTTTGAAGTTTGAAGGTTTTCAGAGTTAAACATTTCCCCTTAGTAATCTAAATGTGGCTCTTAGTATCCAACATGAGCAGCTCTAAGAGTAGAAATCTGTGACATTCTTGGTCAAAAATAGTTGCAGAGATATAATTTATCATATCATGTATTATAAACCAAAAGAGCAAAACCAGGCTTTTGAAGGATGCATGATTCCCAAAAAGAAGGCAAAAATAACCGAGATGTACCTTTAACCTTGGCTTCTACAAACATTTCAGCACGGTGCCTTGATGGGATGCCACTTAACAAAGCTGATCTTTAAATGTTTTTGACACTAAATATTCTGAGGTCAGTTATTGGTGGTATTGTAAAAATCTGGAAGAAGGTTGGAGCAACAGCGACGTGACCCGTCTTAAAACCAAGGTTTGGGGTGCGCGCAGGTTACCAACTTTGATTAGATTCAGAGGCTACTGATTAAATGTCATGCTATGTTCAGATTAGAGCAAAAACAGCACACAGAGAGCTTCATGGATCGGCTCAGGTGGTGTTAGATGCGGCGATGCAAAGCGCTCCAGAACGGCGTAAGGAGACAACGCCCAGGCTGGAGTCTGACCTCGTAAGTGCATTTCTGGTGGAACGGCCATAAATTCCCCAAGCACACTTTTATACCTTTTAGATAGAGTTTGGTTTCAAAACCAGGTTGAAATTAAACAGCAGAATCTAGTACAGTCTTAAGAACCCGTTTAGTGCTGATGACAGGCGGCACCAAAAGGCTAAAATTAGAGCTCAGCCGGTACGACCTACACGGAAACCAGAGAGGCTGCACGGCGCTCACTGATAAGATCTGTTTTGGTTAGATATTTTTGTTTCTCCAAACACCCAAAGGTGCAGCAGACAATCATTATGCTGTTCTGTCTCAGGCCAGGAGCGATGTGTGTGCTTCTATTCATGCCCACACATCCACTCTCCATCTCACATCAGGTCAAAAAAAGAGAGAGAGAGAGAGAGAGAGACAGAAAGAGCAGCTTTATTGCCAGGATCAAAGAAGCGCAGCTTGTTGTTATTACTGCCACATCTTTATTTTCTTTACTATTATTATTATTTTACCTCCGCAGAATTGCAGAGGCAAGTCGACGTGACGCGCAAACAGGCAACAAATGCACGCCGAGTCAAAGACAAGCGAGCCTCGGGCGTTGGGAAGGACGGCTAATGCCATCTGGTCCCCAGCGTTCCTGCTGAGCGGCGTTCAGGTCCACACCTGGGACGGCGGCGATGCCTGTGAGTTCTGTCGGGCCACCGACTGAACGCCCACCTGCCCCCAACGCGCCGCCCAGACTCATCTAGCAGAAATTAATTCACGTTGATTAAAAAGAAACACAACTTAACGATCTTTTCACACATGCATGGTGCCCGTGTGTTACATTTATCACCACTCGACTGGTTTCGGTCGGGATCCTGATGGGTTTGTAATCGCAGGATCTATAAAGGCATTTTAACAGCACTGGCTAAAAATGACCACTGACTCTTGGAGATGTTTCAGCTGTGAAATTATATCACATTCAAAAGCAGATGCTTAGAAAAGATATAATGGACCCTGTTCCTGCAGATACGGGGACACAGCATCAGTCCATTGTGACATATTCAGTTCTAAACACAGAGTGCATGATTAAAACAGGACCTTCAAGCCTTCAACAGCACAGCAGCACCCATGTATGGAAGAGAAAAGCTCAGACATCAGCTGACGGAGAAGTGAAAGTAGCAACAAAATCAAGAAACCTTCTGATGTTTGACATTAGCAGCAATAATCATAGCAAATTCAGGTTCATCTAAAGTAAAAGCTCGGTGTTATAACACTCTATAACATGAACAGTTTAATTTGAAACAGTAGATTGGGGATGTTGAGAGATCAATATCATTTACCAACACCAAGACTCATTAGTCTGTCCATTTCATATTCGCTACGGTCAGGTCGCTAACCCATTACAGTAACAAACTTTTTATTCTTTCAAAAAATGTAATTAGTTTTTTTAATGCAGCTCGGTTCTTCTCAACCTTTTTCTGTGACAGGCTTTTAAAGGGAAAGATGGAAAAAAAAAAAGTAAACTCTTTAACTGAATGCAGCTCTGTCAAGGTTGTTTTTCCTGCCCTCAGAAATCTGACAGATACCTTCATGTTTTCTTCTGATTCTGAGTCCTTGGATATTAATTAAGTTCTGATGTGAGTTCAGCCAAATGAAAACATTCTTCAGTGGCGCATCCAAGGACTCGTTCTCAAGGTAAAAAAATAACACTTCCTGTGAAAGAGAAGAAATAGTTCTTCCTTTTGTGTTGGAAAGTTGGTGTTTCTTATGTAAGCAAAGTGATGGTGTTATGGTGTTATAAGCTCAAATGTAAAGCCTCTGTCACACCTTTGATCAATAATCCTTACAGCAGACGCTCCCATACGGCACACTTTGCCCGGTGGTCTTGACTTAATCCTCTCTATTCCAGTGATCCTTACCTCATCTCTGCACATCAGCTTTCCACAATTAACTCTGATTCTGCGATGTAAAATCTAGCAAAAATTCATGTAAAATCTTAGTGGCGAGCAGAAGTGTTACTACAATTTGAACTTCCACATTTTGGTATGCGTCAACCAGAAGCCTCAGCTAAGATGTATTTTATTGGGATTTTATAAGATGGACAAAGTAATGTCAAACTGCGAAACTGATGAAAAACGATACAGTGGACCGACTCCTGATATTCACGGAGGAGAATAGCTGAAACCTGTGAATATCTGAAGCCCCTCTAAAATGCTTACAGCTGCATATTTTAATAGTCAAAACACCAAAAATGCATTCATAAACATTAACAGGCACATTGGAAACTGCACCACTGGCAGAAATCAATATCTACAGTGTGAGAGTCCAGCCAATCAGCAGCAGGCAAAATTAAATGGCTGCTTTTCAAATGCGAGCCATTAGCAGCTAAAGTTGGCTAGCATAGTAGTAGCTTCCCAAGCTGCACTTTCCTTCAAATATTTTAAATATGCTCTATGAGAAAAAAAAAATCAGCAAATATTAAAATGGACATAACTAGGCCATTCTGACACAAGCCAATCCACTGCAGTTGGAACCTCATGCTCAAGTCTTTCTTATTTAACTGTGTGTGTGTTATATTATGAAGCTGATTGCTCTGCATTTGTCTTCACAAATTAATTTGAAGTTACATTGTTTGTTTTGTTTCTTTTCCACAAAGCATTTTGCATGATGGTCAAAAACGTCAGTCCTCGTCTATCAATTAACAACACCACCTTGGTCCAGATGTTTACTTCCCTACGTTCCTCATGCAAAGCTGCACATACGATTCGTTGCGGCTCCTTTCCAGCAAACGGCATCCTGCCTCAATACAAGGCCAGAATTATGGAACCAATAGATTCAGTCAGCAGATTATCCCTCTGGAGTCGTGGCTCTCTGCTGCTCCTCCAAAGTGACCACGGGCCTCTCGGCTGCTTCTCTTCTCTCTCCTTGCCTGAGTACTTCATAGTTCGGTTTTAGTCGCGCCGTTTGTCCTCAGATGACAGACTGAATATGTAAAGCTTGGTATATTGTTTTATAACCTCCTCTTTGCTTAAACTCCCTCACAGAACAGCTGAACTTACACCGAGAATAACTCAACCATGACTGGACTCACCTGCTCAGTCGCTCATTAAGGCATAACCTCCATTATGGGTCTTCTTTTCAAACCACTAATTGTCAAACCCCCTGCATGAGTCTCAGTCTGCTGATCTGCACCTGCTGACGTTTATACGTTTCAGTGGCATGCACCTGGCTACTGAATCACCAGCCGCATATTTGAGATGATCTATGAATCTTAGTGACCAGTATTCAGTCAATTTCAGAAGAAAAATCCTAACAATGTCTCAGTTTCTATGCCAATTAGCGGTGGATGCAGTTTTTCAGGTATGAATCATCAGCCAAATATCAGGCTAAGTGATCCAAACACATCTGAACCAACCAGTGGTCGTCATGTGACCACAAACAAATACCGCATTCCTGATTTTAAACCGTCCGGCTTTGGAAAAAGGTCATGGGATTTTTTTGGTGCTGCAGTTGCATTTCAAGTCTCCGTGAATGAGTCCTTCCCATTGCTGTGCTGAAACACAGGCAGCACTCTTAGCCAGTGACAGAAAGGGAGGGAGAGAGGAAGAGCGAAAGAGGAAGAGACAGCGCTCGCAGCATACAGAGAGAGGTAAAGAAAAAAAAACAGTTTGAGTAGAGGGAGAAGAGTGTCACAGCAATGAGGAGGAGAAAGAGGAGGAGGAAGAAGAGGAGGGACAGAGTGGCAGGAAAAAGGCAGGGAGAAACGCAGAGGGGGACGGACTGAGAGTAAGCAAAGGGGAGGGAGCACCAGAGACGGGAAAGTAGATGAGAAGGAGAAGTAAAGAGGGAAAGTGAGGGAGCTCAACAAAACCTAAGAGGACAGACAGCTCAGCAAACCAGCAGCGCTCCTCTCACAACTACAGAGATCCAGGCAGAGGGAGGAAGCTGAGCTCGTTAAGAGGGAGAGAATAAAACACCAGAAGTTGCATTTTTTTTTTTTTCATGTCTTCTTTTTTCCCACTCGGTTAAGAAGCGCACTCTTCTCTGAGAAGGAAAGAGACGAAGGAGGGGAGAGGACTAAGAGAGTTTCTACAGCCTCCGCTCGTCCTAAAAGGGGGAAGATGGATTCAGACTCTGGAGAGCAAAGTGACGGAGACATCTCGGCAGGTAAGCTCATTTTACTGTCATGCAGGCGGCGCTTACAGTTACACACACTCGTCTTTTGTAGTGTTTTGCGAAGACTCAGAAAGTTCATCGTCAGCTTTAAATACGTCATCAGACTCCCAAACTTCACATGAAGCAGCGATTTACCCCCAAAGCAACCAAACCGTTTGACATTTTCCCGATGCTCTCCGAGGCGTTGGAGAGAAGACGTGCTTTGATGCTGGTGGCAGGCACAGCGTCACCGGGTGTCTGGATGAAAGCTGCCTCAGTCGCCACCAGGAACAGGCAAGCTCTGACACGTGCAGCCGGTTTGTTCATCAACACATGCAGCCAGAGAGCGAGAGAGAGACTGCAGGCTCCCCAAACGCCTGGATCCTCCTGATGCATCGCAGGGTGCGAGAGAGGATGAAAGCCTTTTCCAGTGGATCCACAAAGGTTGCTTCATAAAAAGGAGAAAAGTTTACGGTGTGACTGAGCGCACAGGGCAAAAGTTTACAGCAATAATGAGGAGAGTTACACATTAAACTCTCAGGCAGGGTTTTTACTGCGCGCGGTTATCTGGATTGTGGATCTTTACAGGATTTAAAGCGAGACGGTGGGGGATGAAGCCAATTGGGGACGCATTTTGAGTTAAATTGCAGGACTTGACATCATCAACAAGTGAGGCGTTTCTCTCCTGCTTGTGTGCGTACAGCCAGACAAGGCTGTCGCTCAGCTCTGTCCAATGATTTCCTCCTTTCATTTATTCCTTAATCATGTCGATGTGGCCTTTTCCATGGACAACATGGAGCTTTCTGTATTAATTATGCCCGGATGAACCATCTGTCTGTCCATCTGGACCTTTGTCTGTCTTTCCATTTGGTCCATTTGAAAGGAGAAGGGAACCTGAATATAAAGAGGCTTTATTACAGCTTTATTCAGATCATAAGAAGAGAGTAATAACAACCTGAGCACGAAAAAAAATCACAACGTTCATGGATGAGGATGTGGGTTGTGCCCTAAAGACGTGTGTTAAATTCAATCTACCAATGATGAGGATGGATGAAGAAGGCTTGTTGTCACTGGAGGCAATGGAGAAAATAAATTCCCACATCACTACTACTAGTGTCTGCTAACCCACAGCAGAGTCTGATCAGGCTGCTGGCCAGCAAAAGCAGCTCCATGTTCATGAATGGATAATCCACAAAGGGGAAAATCAACAGGTTTTCCTGTGATTTATTAGCCATGGAGTTAAAATGATTAGTCAGATTAATTGTGATTAATCAATATTGAAGTAACTAATTTAGTGATACATTAATCATTAGCTGCTGAAAGAGCAACACACTCAAAGCAGGAATTAGACTGCATAGAAAATATGCACATTTTGTCTTTAAAATAATAATAACCTTTGTTTGTAAATATGTTTTGTCCAAAACTCCTCAAATGCCATAGTTTTACAGTTTTAGCTTCACCTGGTTCAAATTATGTAAAAAAAAAAAAAAAAATATCTTAAGCACTTTTTGCTATCCAACTACTAATTGGTTAATCTAAAAAAAGAAAGAAAACAATCAACATACCAGCCCTGTATTGTTGCCAAGTCAAACCACAGAGGGCTGAATTTTTCACATGTTGATGTTAGAATGAAGTTTTAGCTGCCAGTGCATCGTTTGCTACAAATAATCAAGTTTACACTCCAGGAATGCTATGTTGTTGCATTTTAGGCAATAAAAATATTTTTAAAATGAGTTGAATTACTCGTTTTTTGAATCTTAATGCATTTCTAATGTTGCATAGAAAAGGCTTCAATGAAAAATGTGCAAAAAGTGTCACTTTTTTCATCCAATTAATCGTCAGAACAGTCTGTAAATTAATCGATGACTAAAATAATCGTTAGTTTCATTGTGGTAACAATACCAAAAAGAAAAAAGACTTCCTTTTGTTTTTGTGCCAAGTATATTTTTAGTATGAATGTATGAAAAGATAGTTCCAAGTTATTTAATTTACATAACTTTTCAGTGCTTAATAGCGTGGAGATTTTTTTTTGTCACCTTCACTCCCCAGATTTTAAAAACCCTGCATCTGAGAGGAACAACGTTTGTTGGTTACCTTTGCTTCTCAAGCTGAAAGGAACTGCGAAGGCCGGATATTTTTGCAGATCGAGAGTCAGTGAGAGCCTGACTCATTCTCAGAATGCATCATGTTTTGTTGCTGTGCTGCAGTTCCTGCCGCTGTGTTGCTATCAGTGGTGCGGCTCACTTTATCCCACAGTGAAATGTGATACATGGCGTTCTGGAAACAGGTTTATTTGGAATCTCTCTCACTCTCACACACTGCCACCATTTTTAATTTTTTTTCCCAGTGATGATGTGTGATTGAACTCAGCATGATGCGCGCATACCTCGCTCCACAGCGTCAGCCGCATAAACACCGAGGGATTTTGTTTCAGGTGACTCTGGAACTCGAGTCGCTGATAATTGCTGTGTGCAGAACATTTTATTTGTTGAGTTTATTTCACCCTCACATTCCTGCCCAGGAGCTTTAGGTCACAGTTTACTTTCTCTGAATTTCACAAAAGCCGCGCTGAACTCAGAGTTCGTGCCTGCGCTTGGATATTGAGCCACTTATTAAGCTTCTTCTACCTTGATCTCACGCAGTTGTTTTGAACACAGAACGTCAGTGGAGGTTTACGATGTTTCTGGAGAACATTGAGACGGTAAAGTCATGACAGCGCTGTTGCTGACAAAAGGAAAATACGGTTTTTAATCACCTGAGGGGGGAAGCTGGCGCGGGTACGCATGCACGCACGCCAAAACTGTAAATAAAGGCAGTCGACCGTGTTATCTTTGCATTTTGTTGTATGTCAACATGAAACCTGCTGGGCAGTTCCAGCAGCACGGCACAGATCCACTTCCTCTGCCACGAGAAAGTGCTGGTTTGGTTGTAGAGCACCCCCAGCTCATAATGTAGATCAAAACCATGCTGGAAACTAGTTCCAAATCATCTGAGCCATCAAAAAACAATGCACCTGAGATTTTCAATCCGTGTGGGAATTTTTTTTTTTTTTTAATCTTTGTTTTTCGGGTCCACAGCAAATTGCAAATCAAAACACAGGCCTTATCCTTGAAATGCTCTATTCATGTCATACAGATAAATGCAAAACTAGCTTAAAGTCTATGGAGACGTCTGTGCAGCATAAACTCCAACAGAAGGAAAGGCTTGTATGCTACAAGGCTTCTGCTTCCCAGCCAAATGTAAATGCTGACATATGTTCAAAACGGTCTATAAATAAAGCGAACCTTTTCTCTCATCCAATTTATTTCAGATGGAGTGAATCTCAAAGCCAGAAACGGTTCTTCACATGTTGCTCAAAGGGAGAGAAAAACATTTTTTAGGTACATATGTAAATGCCAGCATTAAAAAAAAACGGGAATCAAGTCCAGCATTTTTGAAAAATGATCCTGACACAGCAGGAATTATGGGATGCAGATTCAATTATTTTGCTAGGCATTTACAAAAAAAGACCACATCATTTACTTATTTCAATTGAAACAAATGAAAAACAACAGCTTTCTAGTGAAGCATGAGCTAATGGTGAAGATGAAAACATGCCAAGTTATTCAACATCAAACATCTGATGTTTGATGTTGAATAACTTTGATTCTGATGTTTGATTCTGTCTGTACCCGCCTAATTTAGAGCACAAATGATAACAGTGCATTCTGTTTGTACTTATAAACAGTTTCCAGTCAGAAAAATGTAAACTAAATCCCATGAAGTCCAAAGTCCTGCTGAAGAAAGTTGGAGTTCACCATGAAGTTCAGAGTTTGGTGTCAAAAATGGCTGAGTGATGACAGAATGCAGCAGAAGCTGCTGGTACTGGCCACTTATCGGCACTTTTAATGGTTTGTATCCATTTGGACCAGAGGTGCACAAAATGTTACAAAAATATATTTGTGAACATGTTCCTTTATGTCCTAAGTTAATTATATTAGGATTAATATATGATATGATGTGTTTGGACTGCTAAAAGTAACATGTTTTTTTTTAATAATGAGTACTTTTTTTTTTTAATCTAGAAATTTGTAGTTCACTCTGCAAATAAAGTCAGGTGATTATTTCCAGTCCAGATGATCATACGTTCTGGAGCAAAGTAAGCAAAGTTTGGGGGAAAAAAAACAAAAACAAAAATATATATTTAAAAAAAATGCCAATTTTCAGCTGCTGCTATAGTCTCTAAAAACTGCATCCCTGTAACTGATCCTTAAAAATATAGTTAGATCAATAAATGTAACTAATCTGAATCAGTTGATATATTTATTGGGTTACTGATGGGATCCTTCACCCTAACAAACAGCTGACTGATGTTCTGCAGTGTGACGTTACCAAACCATTCACTGTAGCAAGTAACTTTGTTAGCATTAGAAGCAATTAGCATTAGAAACTGTTAGCATTGGGAACGATCTCTCCTTTGTTCATTTACTAGACGTTTGGCATTAACTAATTAGCAAATAGCTGTTAAATTGTTCTTCACGCTCAAACTAGCATTGAAACATTGCAATCTGTTTTTAATATGTAAGGAGTGTCAAACTGGTGCGTCAATTAGCAGTTAGCATTTAGCTCATTTGATGCTCGATGTTCATATTAAGCAGGTCATTGTTTCACTATTAACTCATCCCCTGCTGTTAGCTGAAATGTCCTTAGGAGTCAACGATTACAGTAGCTAAAAATTATTTTAGGCTTTCATGTAAATATCTGTACAAGTCTTAGAATACTATCACATTTGAGTTGGTTGGTTGAATTTTAAGTTTTTAAAAGACAAGTCTGAATTTCAAAATCTTAAATTATTAACAATCCAGACAAAGAAAAAAGTTTCAAAATGTGCCAATAAGGCAACATGCTGTCTCTCAGAAGAGCACAAGCTCTGAATTTCACGAACGTTTTTATTTTCTTCTCATTCCCTAGCTGGTTTCTTTCCCTCATTTATAATCACTCATCTGTCTACATCTGTGCCCATTGATAACTCTGTCCTTTCATTATACGGTCACAGTCTGATCTGCTGTCGGTCTGAAGCCCACGCTGACTAGACGCTGCATTTCACCGATCTATCAGATATCTCTAATGTCCAGTTTGAATTGCCTCTGGAGTTGTTATATCATGTTGGTTGAGTGAGAAAAATCAACCCACAGAGAAGTTTTGGCTGAGTCATCATGGTGATGCGACTCTTAACACCAAACCCCAATCAGCCATCTACAGAACTATTTCCAGCGTTTTGTTTTTCTGTCCGTTTTTCCAGGGAAGATGGTGTTGATGAAAAGCTTGGCTGTTGTAATAATAGATCTGCGATCCATCAGGGCATGAGGGCGGCCGATGTGCCTCCATTCCAAACTCGCACCAGCAGATGTTTCTGAAGACGCAGCTGAAGTTTGATCTTCAGCCAGCCGAGTCCCAACTCTCACCCGT